TGACAGTAGCTACCCAGGGCTTTTCCCCCCAATGTTTATTTGCTGGGTACATGTAGGCTAAGCATCACTGAACAGAATCCGGCAGAAAAAACAAACATCAGTTCCCTTCACATTGGTATTCCAGAGCCAGTTTTGGAAACGTTATTGAAAGCTGTGGAACCCATCTTTAATTTCAACATGTTAACACAAAGCATACATCCACAGGGTAATATAGGTGCCACTCCACTGGATGTTTGTCATCTGTCCTTGCTGTCTAGGGTGTATTGAAGTGATTAGCCAAAGGACGCAGCTATGCATGTACAATGGCGCTGGCTTTCTCTCTGCTCTGCTGCTGTTTGTCGTGTCTGGTTTTATGCAGCATTCAGGTAGGGAGAGCTCCAGGCTGGTGAAGGCTGGGGGCAGAACGCTGGTGACAGAGCCTTTCCCCAGAGTAGGAGAGGCAGTTGCCTTCCTGTCTAAGAATGGATTGCTTCCATGGCAACCCTCACAATTTAGATTTGGAAAGGATGGGCAATTTTATAATGAATTGGTGGGAGGGGGGTTGAGAGAGGCGGAAAAAATCTGTGCAGAACTCAGAATGTGGATATATTCTTTTGCTTGGAGGGTATTCGGGATTCCTGCCACCATTCCACTGGGGAGGCAAGATGACACTTTCTCAGTGATTCCCTCAAACTGTATGGTGGATAGAGAGTCTGTGACACAATCTGTTCATTTGAGGGTAACGTAATTACAGGAGCAGTAGCTCATTCATGTCATTTCATTTATTGTATTGCTACACCACCTAAGAACTGAAGCTCTGTAAGTGGTTGGTTGTTTCTGGCAGCAACTAGTAACTGAAACAGGTCCCAAAGTATCTTGAATTCTTCGTTTTCATAGATCCAAAGAGTTTGAAGGCTGACTGTAAACAGATGCCTTCCAGGTAGTTGACTGGAAGAGGATTAGCAGTTTTTTTCAAGCTGGACTGAGAGCCTCCCAGAGATTGAACAATCGTGACCTGGAATAGCAGTCCAGCAGGTGGCCACATACCAAGTTGCAAGATCTGCAGGATCTTGGAGAGCTCCAGGGATGGGCCATGATTCACTGAAAGGAATGCATGGTTTTCATGAAGATGATCCTAGCCCAGGCATTCTGGCATTATCCTAGGCTGAAATTGGAAGGAGCATAGACTTAGTTTAAGGTCTTGTTTGCCTGGTACAGTTTCCAGCTCTGGCCTCTTCTCTCTTCTCAGACACCGGTGAGAAGAGACTAATGCAGATGAGGTGATGACCTGCAAGGGGTCTGGTGTAGACCTGGATCCATTTTGGTTTCCTTCCCTGAACAGCAAAGTTCTGGAGATGTGAGGAAACAGATTTCTGCAGCTTTGCCATATCTTACAGTTTATTTAACACTTCTTAATCTCTCAGTCATGTGCACAGGAGGGTAAATGTCTTCCAAAAGTAGCACATTTAAGGAGGGAGACCTATGAATGGTCTGTAGACTGGCTGCTTGTTCTTCACAGCCATTAATGTATTTTGTGTGTGTGTGTGTGTGTGTGCGCGCGCGCGCGTGCGAGAGGGAGAGGGAGAGAGAATGTGTATTTTAATATGGCTGGGATTACATTTGTCAGATTTGTTAGTGCTCTTGACAGCTCATCACTTAAAACATTCGCAACACAGCTAGTTGGAAATGCCTTTCGTTTAGCAACAAGTGTTTGCAGTTATGTCCTGTTGGGATGCCTGCTCTTCTGAATCAATATTCCACTATCAATGTCAGTGATAACATCTGTTGGGACTGGCTCTTCTCCTGTACAGGCTGGAACCGTTTCAAAGCATCAGAGGTAGAAGTGATGCAGTACCAGAGGGGCAGAGACTCAAGACCAGGAGCCAAATCCAGCCCCCACTAGCTCCAGTTTGGCCTTCAAGGGTTTCTCATATAGCTATACCACCTTCCTTTGGTGTTAGGAGGTTTCCCAGCTTTTGCATGATTCCCTGCACTTCTTCTAAAAGGCCTTGCTTGCTTGCTTGCTCGCTCGCTCGCTCGTTTGCTCATTCAGTTTTGATTTGCCTTCATCGGTCTACCAAAAATGGCATTCAAGGTTAGGGTTTTCAGTTTTTCTCTTCGTGTTTAGACAGAAAAAATGTCCTGTAACTTGTGCCAGTCCCCACCCAGCCAAGGAGCTCACTGGGTGACTTTGGGCCAGTCACTCACTCTGAACCTAGCCTACCTCACAGGGTTGGATAAAATGGAGCTATATAAGCTGGCTTAGGCTCCTCACATTAGTGAAAAGGCAGGATATAAAGTGCCCAAACTCCTAGTACTCCTTGGCTGCCTTAAAGAGCTATTATGCTACTAATTTTTGGGTTTGCCCATTTTGCATTTGGTCCCATGCAACCCTGGAAGTGGCCAGGAAAGGTTACCTGAAATTGAATTCAGCTCTTGGGTTGGAAGAGGATCTACACCCCCTCAACAATTATACTGGTTTCCTTTATTTTCTGGGGTGTTTACATATTTTCAGCTGGTTCTATGTAGGAAAAAAATTAAAATGTTATAAATAAATAATGCAATCCTGGTTTGTTCATATTTCCATTCTACAGTCACTCACAATATTATTTCAGTCAATTAATAATTATGGATGTTGTCTCACAATATTACACATTTTTATTCAGGGAGTTTTAATACACCAGGTGAATTGATTGCCTCCTGCTTTTATTGTTAAAAAATTAATCTTGTGGAGATACAAATCAAGGGCATAAGGCCACTGAGGACTGAAAGAGCTGGCAGCGCTAGAACACGAATCTTCAAATTAATGGATGAACTGGATGCTGTTAATCATGTTTGGTTCCAGCTCCTTAATATTTCATGGTGGCTATGTGTCATGGAATGTGTTCTTCATTTTTCATCACTTTTTAATTACGAACGGTATGCACATAAATAGGCATGCTGTCTGACTGTTTTGGCCTCAAGAAAGAAAGATAAACAGTCATACAGTGGCTAATCCATGTTTTTATTCTTTCCATACTGGGGTTCTCCAAAGAAAAGTGCTTGCGTAATGCAATGTACACAGAATCCTGCATAGTGGTTCTTCAGCTTCTTGGTTTTTATGAGGCTGTTGTTGTAAGTGTGGTTAAGTTGCACTGGCTTAGTCAAATAGATGAGCTATGCTTTTGAAAAGGCAAATTCCTATGGCAGTTTCTTTAATATATTGATGTCTGCATGAGCCCACTGTCAGAGGCTTTGCATCTTGGAAGCTGGTTCTCTGAATGGTTCAGTGTTTCTCACTGTACCTTAGGAGACTTTCATAAAGCCAACAAGCCAGGAGATCCTGAGTTCTATACCCAATTTGTCCAATGGGGAATTATAGTCCAGAACGTCTGGAGTACACCATATTCTCTGCTTTTGCCTTATTCTGTTCTTCCTCCTTCCAGTGTTCAGGACCACCCTTTCAACGGACAGCAAGCATGCTCAGTTCTCACTGGGCCATGGGGATTCTTTGGAACAGTAGCACCCCTGCTAGGGTTGTATCTCCAATCCATGATCTGAAATTTTAGGGTTGTTTGTTTGTTTGATTCATTTACATACTGAAAAGGTCATTCCTGCTGGAGTGACATGGCAGCAGCCATGGGCTGATATCTACATACTACTCTAGGTAATGGCCCAGTTTGCACGTGCAAGTCATGTGCCAGCACAAGCTGTTCAGTCACTCCCGCTTGACTCTTCTCAACAGCAGGAGATGCTGAGGAAATCAGGAAAGTTCCACTCATGGGTTGTTTAGGATTACATCCAAACCATATCTGTGGCTTGCTGCTCTCCTCACAAGGCAGAATCAAAAGCCAGGGTTTTTTTTTCCCCCTTGGGTTATCACTGTGGCCTATTAGGAGAAAACGAGCCAGAGGTCCTAGTTCAGATGTAACATTAAATAAACCAGAGATGGAGAGTTGATGGCTTCCATGTAGGACCAAAAGGAAATGATCAAGCAGCACGCCCTAGCATCCTTCCTCTAAAGAACTCTAGCTTATTGTTATATATCCAATGCATTTGAAACAGGTTGGATGAAGAATATAAATCAGAAATATTGCTCCATTCAGGTGTATAAGAAGATTAGTCAGTTCTCTCTTGCTCTTAAAGAATGTGTTCCTGTTGCTTTGTTAAAGTATTTTAACTGTGATACCAGATTAAGTCTGTATTGTGTTCCAGATGGGCAGTCTTTTAACTAAATCATACAAGCGATTTGTCCAGGAATGACATTTTTTTCCTTTAATATTCTCAGGTTAGGTAATAAAAAGTTATTTGGCCCTTAAATTGTAAAAGTGCCATACTTGTAAAGTACAAGTATTTGTGTTACTGAAAAAGAGTGTACACCTTCAGATGTGCCCACACAATCTGCTACCTAGGAATGTTCTGTTATGGCCTTGTGTGTTGTGTTGTGTTGTTTCAGTGCAGCCTTGTGTGCCTCCAAATTTGCAGAGCAGTGCATATGTATTTTGAGCAAACATTGAGATATTATTTTTTGGTCAGTTTGCAGAAATGTACAAAGGCTGGAATACATATACTTTAACAACCCATAGTGGTGTATCTGAACCAGGTGCCATAGCTTAGAAGCTCTATTCAAATTGATTGTGAGCCATGAACTCTGTGGGGAACTTGGAGGGTTGCAATCTTTTAGCTTCAGTTCCTTATATGTTAAATGGGAATATTTATCATCTGTCTCTTGAAATTATTGCAGGGATGGATGAGACAGGATTTGTAAAGTTTGTTTCATACCATAAAGTCCTATAGTAGAAGTTATATCTTTTTCCCTTGTCTCAAGAAGATGGTTCTGTATCCTGTTTGAATTCTGGCTTTTCAAACCTCCCAAGCTGAGGGAAACTTGAAAGCAGAAAGACGTGCCATTATTTAATGATCACTTTTCTCTTTTAGCAGCATTGCCCGTTGCCAACTGCAATGTGTTCCACTGGGTTATTGCAACCCGGAGGATGCTTTCTGTTTAATTATAATAATTGCACTTTTGTTTCCTTTGCCAGCTGGTGATGGAGTTTTGTGGCGCTGGCTCTGTCACGGATCTGATCAAGAACACAAAAGGGAACACTTTGAAGGAAGAGTGGATTGCCTACATCTGCAGGGAGATTTTACGGGTATGTGTCCAGAGTGGGCCAACCAGCCCCCTGCCTGTCATTCACACCATATCTTGCTTAGTCACAGAGCATACATAGAACTGCTCCCTCCAAATGGTGGTTTGTACGTCAGGAACCTGGGTTCAGAATGTATTCTACCTCTCTCTGCTTCTTTCTAGTGCAAATGAAATCCCACCTTTTCCTCTTCAGCTTATCTGTGCTTAAGTATCACACCTGTCCCAACAGCGTCAGATTTTTGTTACAATTGTAATGTTCATTGGTGTCAAGCATGGTTAGGTTCAGTGCAGATTTAACACTAAACCTTGGCCCTGGTCCACCATGGAATGAAGTGGAAATCTGGAGAGGGGAACAAGGAAGAGGAGGAGTGAACATTCCCAATGGCAGCTCTGGCTTTGGAAACCACAGAGTGCAGAGAGCCAGTGTTATGTCTGCACCAGGTCTTTCTTCTCAATCTTGAAGGCTAGAAACAACTTATGACATGTTTCCCAAGGCTTACTGGATAGTCCTAAAAGGAGAACTCTGTAGGTGCCGCCTGTAGATATGAATGATTCATAGTCACTTAAATATTATGCATAATAAATGAATGAGAGTTGGTTAGTTCTCTTCCGTGACTCTTAACCCTGCTTCTTGCAAAGAAAAGTCCTTCTTTGATATTAACTGGGGCAAAGGTAAATTTTAATTCTATTTTTTCTTAGGGAAATGGGAAAGGGTAGGGTGGAGGAGGCATTTTATCAGTCAAGGACTCATACAAGGTACATGCATGTGCACCCACACACACACGAACAATGATCCAAAGTCTCTGGAAGTCTCTTGTGAAAATGAGAAATGGTGCTCTTTGTCAGTGATTTACTACCATCTACAGTTCAAATTGTGATGAGTCTAAGCATCAGGGTTGCTTAAATATGTTACTGATTTGCAACATGGAAAGCAAATTATTATGCAGGACTGCAGTAAAAAAAAACCCTGCTGGTGGGATCGTCAGGTCTTAAGTCTGCAAGTGCACTTCTGCTGTTTCCTTTGTGGAAGTGCATCATGTGTCGGCTTACAGGCCTGGTCTTGCACTGGAATCTTCTCTAAAGAGCACATCAACCCAAAATCAAACGCAAGCACAGTTTCTTGAACCAGATACGCATCACCCAGAGGATGGGCTAACACTTTCAGAAAAGCATAGTGTAATAATAGAATGATTAAAGGGAGTGATAGGATCCAAGAGAAACAACCGGGGATAGTTTTGTAATTCTATAGTTTTGTCATTGAACTAGTTGTCACTGAACTAGTCACTAGCTCTTCTCAAAGTTTAGCTCTGTGGCTTGAAGTCAACAGCTCTGTCCGGAGGTAACCTGTTTTTATCCTTCTAATCTACACAGTGATCATTCATTCATTCATTCATTCATTCATTCATTCATTTATTATTTAGGAGGCTTCTATGCCGCCCCATTCACCGAAGCCTCGGGGCAGCTCACAATAATAAAAATACATTATAAAAACAATATAATTTGAGTCGACCTGGCCAAAATTGCAAATGGTTTATCATGATGATTACAGCAGTCATGTAATATTCAATCCTGAAAGCACAGTGCTCATGTGGGACCAGCTGTAATAAAGACACATTTGCAGGTATTTAGTAGTCACAAATGGCAAGACAGTTAAATGCGCCTGAGCATGTAAGTGATCAGTGTGGCCACTTGGTTTTCAGAAGTGCATTCTTCTAAATGCTTTTAGATTCCGGCAGGGTTAAGTCCCTGGTACAGATGAAGGCAAGGAAGGAGCAAAATGTTACCTGAAAATAAAACGAGCTCTGAAAGAGTCCCCAAATGATACTTGCTGTCTGAGGTGACAAAGTACTTGCTCATTTACAGTAAATACTCCTGGCTGCAGCACTTTAGCAACTTGATATGAATGGCAGGAGACACTGCGGCTAATCAACTCCCATATTGACTTTTTATTCCTGTCTCAGAAGCCACAGTTTTGCAGGCCAGAGTTTGCATGTACAACCAGGAAGTGAGTTTCCTAACACTGGCCAAGCAAGAGCTGTGAGTCAGGTTCTAACTGCTGACTTGCTCAGCTAATGCGTCATAGTTTGGATGTCAAAAACTCAGCCAGTTCTGTCAGTTTGCTTGCTGGATATGCTGTCATCTGTAGTATGGTGGTTCCACAGTTTGCAAAAAGTGAGTGTGATTTATAGCAGGATCATTTAGCCAATGGCTCAGCGCAAACTACCAGTGCCCAAACTCCTAAGCATAGTTTGAGAACACCCTGTGGGCTTTCTTCCTTTCTTCTATCACTCTCATTGCATTTGCTTGAGCTTTCTTCCTTTCCTTGAGTTTCAGAGCCAACTATGCCAACTCTTGCTTGCATCAACATTTTGGCTAAAAATAATTAGCTAGAAGCAATACCTTGAAGCCATAGTCGGAAATAGGTTTCCAAATTTTGCTTTTGCATTATGCTTGAGGAAATGCAGTGCAACATGCTGCTAAGCATTGTTATCCTCAAAGAAAGCCCATCCAGAAGGGGAGAAGAAACAAGCCCACAGAGTGCTTGTAATGCCCCGGCTGTATTTAGCAATCGGGCAATGTGACACCCAACAAATGAGTCTTAAATGTCCATGTCTTTAGAAGGCAATACGTGTGTTATTTTAACCACTGAGACTGGGATCTCCTTGGCAAATCCTAGCTTTCTTAAGTAGAGCTCACCGTGTGAATTGGAATCATGATAATCCCATTTTATATACTGAATAATACTAGAACAGGCCTACTCCACTTGTGATGTCTCAGGCATGTTTTATAATCTGTCAGTTCCTTATTTTTGTCATTTTCAGGTTGCTGTCCTGTGCACACCCTCCTGGGAGTAAGCCCCATTGAACACAGTAGAACTTAGTCCAAAGTAGTCAAGTACAGGCAACCGGACTGGGAAGTTTATCAAGCTGCTGCTGGGCTGCACTGAACTTGGTGGGTTGCAGGATGTGCAGGCCTGAAGAAAATTATGCAGCTGGTAAAGGCAAAAAAATCTTCGGGTTACCCGTCCCACGTGCAGAAGGAATGTCAGATAAAGAGAGCCTCTTAATTTTGCTTTACATGCATTTAGGTCACACAAAACCTTCAGGACCGGATGAGGTTTCTGACTGCACAAGACTCTGCAGATCTAAATTGTAGCCTATGTTGATGTTCACAAACCAGGAGCACTTGGTCTGCGGTTAGTAGTGGGAGGGGTTCAGAGCTGTGTTCTGCCCTCTCCTACGCATTTGGGACCAAGTGCCTCCAAAAAGCCTGCACTTGTGGCTCATTCACTTGGTTCCATTTATTTATTATTATTATTAATTTATAATATTTATAGCTCTCCTGCCTACCCATAGGTATTCAAAGCTACACAGAACAATTAAAAGCAGAATAATGCTCTATTTAAATTTCAAAATGCATGTAAAAATCTAAGCAGTAAGCAAACAACAGCATGAGCTCTTGATAGCACAAAGCCAACAGGGTAGAACAGATGTACAAAATGCAGCACTAGAACAGTTAATTAAAAGAGAGAGAGCAGTAGCTTAAAACCGCAAACAAACCTAACAGTGGCAATCTGAACAGCAGACAAGAATGTCCAGGTAGGTCTCAGCTGCTGGAAGAAACCTCTTAGGGAGATATCATGGTGACATCTTTTAGCAGGAGTTTCTCAATATGGATGGGCTAGCATAGAAGAGATACTTCTCTCCTATGGAAATCCTCCCAGGATCTTAAGAAATAGGAAAGAACACTTGGGGGAAGATTTTTCTCAGAAAGAACAGGATATGCAGAACTTTACATTAAATACCAGCACCTTGAAGCAACAGGCAACTCACGTTCTTGGTTGTGTTCTCTGTGCATCATACATATGGGTGCTGCACCTGCACAGTGCCAGGTTTGGGAAGATTCCTCTAGCTCAGCCTACAGAAAATTCTGCACCGTCTGGAGTCTCTGAGCCATCTTAAAAGTAGGCAGGCTGGCAAGCAAAACACTGGAAGGACTGTTCTCCACTACCCAAGCAGGGCCTTCTATCTCCAGTTGCTCTGCAGGAACGATTTCAAAAGAGGCAAGCAGGCAAAGATAGGATAACCTCAGAGACCACTCTAGCTCAATCAAACTGCTTCCCATTAAGGGCCTTGTGCCACAACCACCCTGTATGAAAGAACCTGGTGTCTTAGGTTCTTATATTTTGATGTTAATGTATTTTCATTCTTTTTACTTGTCAGTTGCTTGAATCTTGGAATACAAATAACTATGCTAAATAAATATAAATATAAAGGAAGCCCCCGCATATTGCAGTAATTTAACAAGGTGGTTAAGAAGATGGGGGACTTGCCCAAATTGCTTTCTGGGAAGAAAGGCCATCATGGTCAGCCCACCAGAAGTTGGGCAAAAGCACACCCAGCTACTGCTGCCACAAAGCGCCCTGTACAACTTGACACAGAATGTCTGCTGCAGTACATGTTAGATGGTTCTATTCGGAAAGTCATGCCACTTTGCTTAAAAAATTAATGCCCGTTTGCGTGGTGTTGATAACTTTGCTATAGTCACTATTGGTTATAAAAAAGAAATAACTATAATAAAAACTTTAAATATATATTTTAAAAAGTTAATCCAGAATAGATCCAGCAGCACCCTTCAATCTATGCAGAGAATTTTGTGCCTTCCTCCCTTGATCCCCTGAAACATTAAATAACTTCCTTACTGTCAGCTGCCAAATTCTCTTTGTGAGGCTGGAACCCTTAATTAGTGCCGTTGATTCAATTCATTATCCTCTTAGCTTTGTGTTTTATCACTCTGTGCAGGACATACTATGCTTACCGGGGTGTACTGTCTCCTCCCCACAACAGTTTGCATATTCATCATTTCTATATTATTATATTACATTGCATGGCACTGCATTGCACTGCACTAGATATCTCAAAGCTTTACTCAGTCTAGAAGTTAACATAAAGAGGAACATGGAAGAAAATTTTCCTGCCCTGTACCCAGACAGCCCATCCCATGTTGTTGAGGAAGTGCTCCCCACTGGGCCTTTCAAAGAGACTTTTGGGGAGGTGGCAGTGGCCACAGGAAGGAGAAGGGAAAAGGCAACTTTGCTTCTATGAATTCTCCTCCTGTTCCAACTTGGATGCCTTCTCATATGGACTGTGAGGTGGCTGCTCTCAGCAGGCTGTCTGGTCAAGTTTCTATAGAGACCCTTTACCTTATCCACCTAGTGTGTGTGGAAAAACTGGGTGTTCGAAGCCTACCTGTCCCTTGGATCCTTGGCTTTGAGATCTGCCAAGGCTGAACCTTCAGTTTGGGCCTCAGAGGACCTTAATGCCTGAGGCTTGTAAAAGTAATTGTGCAGTCTATGGACACAATGAATATTTCCTCTAGTTCTTTCACATTAGCAACCAGCTATTACTAAGGAGGGAAGTGTTCTTATGTGGAAGGAGTTTAAGGACTCTTGATTTGCTTGTAGGTGTCTTCGAATAAAGTGCAAATTCAACAGATGGGCCTTCACACTTTGCTTTAAAAAAGAAAATAGAGAGGAACTGATTTTAACTGATTAGAACCCTTGAGCACTGCCTTTGAGTAAAGAAATAGTGAGTGCTTGCTCTCTCTCTCTCACTCTCTCTCTTGCTCTCTATCTCTTTCTCTCTATGCCCTAAATCAATTTGAGCCATTTATTTTCAAACGTAAGTTTATTTATTTGGATTTTCAGCTCTACAAGAGGCCATATTTGCAGAAAAGCACCACCCACCAACTTGGAGGGAGCAGTTAGTGGGGGGCGGGGTATGCATTAGTTCTAGCACTGATAATCCCCTTTCTTAGGGGCAGTGCAGGAGTATCTGGGGTCAGATTCCGTTCCCCCCACCTTCAAACAAATAATCAGTGCTATCTGTAAGAGTCACATTAGAGCTGTGGATACTCAGCCTACCTGGATTACCAGATTTATGTATGAAGCAGTGTTGTAGAAGAGCCAACTGCTTCTCGGGTGCAAAGCCAGGCTGGCTAAAAGCAGGGAAAATACAGCAGGAAGTGGGATGAGGTCTCACCAAGTTCCATATGAGGGAAGGGGACTTATGGGAATGAAGCAGGCACACCTGTGTGACTGTTCAAGGGGCACTACCTTTATTTGCTACTGAGAAAAGTGTAAGGTGTTTGTTTTGTTGCTAAGTCATGCCCGACCCTTCACAACCCCATGGACAACATTCCTCCAGGCTCTCCTGTCCTCCACCATCCCTTGAAGTCCACCAAGGCCCACACCGACCACCCTAGTGACTCCATCTAGCCACCTCAACATTCCCAGCATTAGAGTCTTCTAGGGTACTGTTCTGAAAAACCTGAAACCATGTAGGATCTGGATACCTGAGAGAGCTCCTTCTCCCTTATCACCCTGCCTGGTCGCTGAGGTTATCAGATAGCATGGTCCGGGTGGTTCTACATGGACCTATGGGCCATTTGGAAAAAGATCCTTCAATATGATAACCCTTCTTTCTGTAGAACTCCCTGCCTCTGGAGGTCAGGCAGGTCCCAACATTGTGCTGTTACTGGCCTCTCCTGAAAGCGTCTTCATTTCAGGAATCCTTTCCTTGGTTGACTTCCTACGGCTTTTATTGATATGCTGCTTTTTATACTGAGTTTATTCTCTTGATCTTCTTTTGCCTTTTACTATTTACTATACTATCAAGAGTCTGTGCAAGTATGGATCAGTATCTGAATGCTATATTTAAATAATATGTCAGTTCTGCTGGCTATCAGGAATACTTTAGGGAGCTGGGCTGGATTACCCCGTGGCAACTTTGGAGGTAAAGACTGAACTGCTGCACAAAAAGAGAGGAGGAAATGCATCCAGACAGTGCAGTTCGTGGACAGAAGGAATTTAAAGCAGTGGGTTAAATTTAATATTATGCAAGCAAAAGTCAGCTGGTACAGTGGGAGTTTTCTCTTACTCTGCTTGTATCTCTATGCACTGCCCAAATTTCCTAGTCTTTGGAACATGGGGCTCATGGAGGATGGCAGGGTGAGCATGGGATAAGGACTGGATGAGACCCAGTATTCAAATTTTTCCAGATGTCCACTTGAATAAAGGAGCGGGGTAAAGTCTTTCAAATAAGAACTGCCAAATACTTGTAGGTTATACTCATCTACTCTGACACTACAGGATTTCAGATATTTGATGTCTCCTGTGGTTGTCAATCCATTTTCTAACACACAGTGATGTGCTTTTTGAAAATGTTTCTGTATTGGAACATTTACTAACTACTGAAGTAACTGGGATTGACCCATGGCTCAATAGCTGAGCACAGGCTGTGAATGCAGAATGCCCTGGGTTCACTTTCTGATATGGCTAAATTATTATTTTTTTAAGTGGTAATCGTGGGTGGCGAGATTAACAAAGAGTTCTAGCTGAGACAATGGAGGATGCAAGCAGAATGGGGCTTGAATCCAATCCTCTAATACAGTATAAGGCAACTTCATATGCATACATGCTAGAGAATACATTTAAAGCCCCGCTTTGCAGCATGCCATGTAATGAGAAACATCTTTGTTCACAATACAGCCAGGTTTCTTTATCCTTCTACAAAATGGAACCTTGATGTAGAGAAAATAAAATGACTAATAAATGCTGGCAGTAGAGAATGAAAATAATTTTCATCTTGAAAATATGAATGCTAATGTGAATCTAAAGCGGATATGAATGTAGTCATGAAAGTAAACCATACTTTACTAGCATGGCAATTTAGGCAGATATTTTTAAACCTTCCAACATGGGTGTGAAATAGAAATGGAGCATAGAAAAAAAGAGAGAAGAATTAATGGTCTAATAAAAAGGTACAACTACAACCTAGTCTACTTCTAACCTTTAAGACAAGCTTTTAATATGAGCTATGATTCGATTAGGGCAGCATTCAAGCTATATAGCAATTTGTGTGCTTGTGTAGGTTCTCCCACCACTTCCCTTCCCTTCCACTCCAGCCTTTGTTTCATCATTCCTTAATGGAATCTGGAATTTTGGTTCACAGACAGTGGGAATAACAGTAAGAATTTCTTCTTGTTAGTATTTCAGATAGCTTTCTTGAAAAGTGGCTGTACCATCCCCTTAAAACACGATTACATCTCTCCTACTGAATCAGGGAGAGCTAAAATTAAATTACTCCAACTGGATCTTTCTTAGAGTTTACACTGTATATCTAGGCATATATGACCACGTGTTTGTGTGACCGGATTTATTTTTATTACCCTATTTCTATACAACCATTCATCATAATTGATTTCAGGGTAGTTTATAATTTAAAAAGAAAAATCCACTTTAAAATGCAGTAGCTACAAATGCAGCAGATAGAGCTATCTGCTTTACATATGAAGCAATCTTACCCTGGAAACAAAGAGAGGCTATTAACGATTAATAGCATTATTGTAGCATAAGGCGCAGTTAAGTTTCTTCCACAGTTTTAGGCAATTAATCAAGGACAGTAAGCAGTCCGAACAGTACGGGATCCATTGAAGAGCAAAGAAGGCACAGCCAGAGCGAATCCATAGGCATTGTTCCAGGCCACTGGGCCTGGAACTGAAGACATTTAAGCATGAGCCTTAAAGGCCTGTAGGCCGGGGGCGGAAGAGACACATGGGGTAAATGTCAGATGCTTGAGAGCCACAAGCGGGTGCCTGTGGGCAGTGAACAACAGGCGGAGAGTGCCGAGTGTGGGCAGTGGGTGGCAAGTGGCCACCCGTGAGCGCTGCAGCCCGTGAGTGGCAAGCCACAAAGCAAGCTCAAGGAGCTGCATGCTGCAGCGGTGCCTCGGTTTGGCCACCCCTGCTATAGGGCATCAGCTGGGCAAGACTGGAGCATCTCCTTTCTCGTGATTACTCATCCCCTTTACACCTGAGGAGTCCTTATTCCTCAGGCTGATGCTTAGGGCCAAGCCTGATCCTTTAGCCTCTTGAGTTTGCAGGGACTAGATGGCCACTCGGTTTCCACTTCTGAGTTCAAAGTAGGGAATAACTTGACCATGGGGAGTAGGGGTAGCTGTTGTCTCCCCAGAGGACCCCGAATCCCCCTGATTTGCCGTCACCACATTTTCATGAGAGTTTCCAGCTCATTGCTTGAAGGAAAGCACAGAAAAGAAATGTTGCATTCTGTCTACTCATCTTTTTAAAAAAGAAGACAAAGAAATGTAATGTCTTTCTTACTCTAGGGTTTAAGTCATCTCCACCAGCACAAAGTAATCCATCGTGATATTAAGGGACAGAATGTTTTGCTGACAGAAAATGCAGAAGTTAAACTAGGTAAGTCTCTTTTCTCCCAGTTTGTGAAAAATAAAGGAAAGCATAGAATCAGGCTTGCTAAAAGGATTTTATTAGTTCTGCCCTTTTAATGAATTTGATCAATTTTCTAAAGTCAACTTGAGAATTCCTCTAAGGTCTAACAAGTAGAACTGGATGTCATTTTTGCATGCCAATACATTTATTTTAAACAATTTGAAAATAAGGTCCAGGAATCTTCATAGGTGTAATCATGTGTAAGAATATAGAACCATGTGAAACCAATACTGGAAACTATAATTGCAATTATTTAAAGTCTCTTATAACCACAAAACAAAACCTGGATCTTATTCATGGGTAGTTTCTTGGTAGCTTTTGCTAAAAATATGGAACATAAAGAGACTCTGATTGGGAAGATCGTAGTCAATTTTTTTTGGAGGGGGGATCTTTTTTCTGCTCAGCATAGTTATTAGTGCCCCCCTCCAGTTGTAACTCTTAGATGTATTTCTCTCTCCAACCTTGCCCTTTTAAAAGTGAAATTCAACTGTTCTTTCAAAGTCTCTGACAAATATGTGATGAGTAGAAGATATAAACAATTCTAGCTACGAAGATACACCTATCTAATAAGTTTGTAAGTTAACCATTAAATGGCTCTTGAAAAGTGGTCAGATTGCTGAGGGAAGAGAGAGAGTGGAAAGTAATTGAACTAGAGTGTAACAGAATTCATTGTGTCAATCAAGACTAGCTTACCTGACATGAACAAGTCAAAGATCTCAGTACAGAAGTCACTGCTTTAAAAAGGCCACTGCCTACCAGTGTTGCATCTAACTATGTACCTGTTGCCTGCTGGATGGGGTGACTATCACAGGGCAGAGAAGCATCATAGAAACTCTAGGATTAGGGACTAGGAAATTTCTAAATTCAGTATGCTTGTGATTAAGCTGGGCCAAGAATTCCGAGCTTTACTTGGATAAGAGTATCCAGCAACCAGGGAAATACTTATGACCATATAGTATGATGTCTATGAGTCCTTAGCACAAGCAGCTGAATCTTAAAGTGTCTTCATTTTGAGCCCAAGTCTTTGGCACAGAGGTGGGCTGCCCTCAGTGCCTTAAAACTGCTGCTGTACCACCAGCATGCGCCTCATTGTAGTGCAATATCACCCAAACACATCCTCCATGCGGTTTCTAGGAGAGCAATCCTGCATTAAGCCTCGCTGTTCACTCTCCATGTGCCTTGTGGGAAGTGTAGTTTATTTCCTCTGCTTAAATTTGGCGGTACAGCAGCGACTTTGGAGGTGGGTAGGTGTGTAGGCCAGGGGTGGAGGCGAACCTTCCCTGGGAGTTGCCTGCCCCTGTTCTAATAGATGGCCTTACTCAATGGAGGAAGGGGATGCATTCTTTGGGCTAAACTTTCTCTGCATTTTTGGGCATTTGCATTTTTGAAATGAATTGAGCACTCTTCACATCAAGAGTCTTGAAGCTCTCTGTGAACTTAGGCTTGTCAAACTTAATATTACTTAATTTACACTTCTTATGTGACATGAGTAAAACCCTGTTTTTAATCTATGCCTCATCACTTACTGTTTTTCATTCCCAGTGGATTTTGGAGTCAGTGCTCAGCTTGACAGAACAGTTGGGCGAAGAAATACATTCATTGGAACACCATACTGGATGGCCCCGGAGGTTATTGCTTGTGATGAAAACCCTGATGCCACTTATGACTTCAAGGTATCTAAAGATGTTGGCTAATGCGATCTTTGCTAATCAGCACTGAACCATGAAAGTTAATTACACATGGAAAAGTATAATGGAAGAACTGGCAGATTTAGGACAGGAGCTAAATAATACACTGGGGTAGTTCCATGGGGTGATCAGCCTAAAGGAGCAGGCCAATGATTGCGGCGAGAAGTCTTAACATTGGAGCTGGAACCAGGGTATGAATGATGAATGAAAGTGAAACTAATCAAAAGTTGGGAGCAGCTCTTCTATGAAGACAGGGTTTTAAAATTATTTTTAAATGTGAATTTCACCAAAACAAAGAAATGTACATTAAAAGTACATTAAAAAGAACTTTTCAAGTTTATAATGTATAATAGGTGAATATAATATATATATCTGTAAGCATATATGACCAAGTAATACTACAGGTATCAAAATAAACAGTTTTGCATCAGATTCTGAAAAGGTAGACCAAATGTCCATATATTTATCCATCTAAAGGTGAGATTTAAATACTGCTCATTCAAATACTGAAAGTATTATTACATCTTCAATCCACTGTGTCACAGGAGGTGGGTGTTTACTCTTCCATTGTTGTAATATCAGTCTTTTAGCTGTCAAGAGGACACTGAAAATCTGAATATGTTGTCTTAATACAAAGTTCAAAACAGCAGTGAATAACTTAAAAGAATGTGTGCATCAGTAAATATTAAAGAGCATTCTAATGCTAGGTTTTCCTGTACTATAGCCTGCTCCCCAAAAGAAGCAGCCATTGGGCATTACTGCAATAAGCTTTAGCTGTGTTAAACTTCCAGCTGATTTAGACAAACTCTTATTTAAAAGATGTTGTGGCAATCAATAAACACAAATCAGAGATTTTTGCTGAATAAGATGTATTATAAGATCCATCAATCCTTCTGGCACAGATGCAAAAACAGTGTTTCATTGATCAGGCAAAATAGGACCACCTAATCCTCAATTCAATTTGTTTTTAAGACTCTGTATATCATATTTATTCACTGATAATAAGTATTTATAAGCATGAATTGTAGGTCCGTTATAGCTGCTCAGCTTCATCTAGTGCTTCCAATGGCAGTGGAGGCTCTGAAACTATAAAAGGCACAGGGCCAGATCTAGATTCTAACAAATGTTGCAAGTTGTAGGTTTGCTAATATTGCTATTTAGCTGCGGCAAGCAAGTTGTATTTGGCACACAAAGCTAAAAAGACATAAACTCATAATCCACAGTCACTAATTGATTCAAAAATAACCTGTCTATTCAAGTCCTCCACATAATCATTTTCTTGCCAATTTTTAATTCAAGATTTACCCAGAAAGTCAGTATAGTTTGAGAAATGGGGTCAAACAGGATGGACCAGACATAACACACCCTCTAATACAAGGCAAAGGCAGGTCCACCCTCTTTAGCTGAAAGTTGCATCCTCTCCAATTAATTTCGTTTTGAGGAAGTACACCTGAAAAAAACAAACATTTTTGAAAATAGTTGGCAAATATGAATAGAGGGATCCTGCATTACGTGTATTAGTTTCACCCCACAAACTTAAGAGATGTCCTTGTCTCCATTCCATGATATCCCATTGAACAACTTACTGAAATTTAGCTTGATTATTTGAGATATGTCTCTAGGGAAAATATTCCTAAATAGGTAATGAAGTCTGGACACCATGTGATTTGCCACTGAGTGAATACACTCTGAGGTATAGGGTCTTCAGTCTGCCCCCTTAAAATATGCTAGTTAATAGTTTGACATTTGGAGTAAGACTAAGAAGCTGCAATCAATTTTGGAGTCTGGCCATTGACCTAGGCAAAAAGCCAAGTTCAACTCTCAAGCATTTAGAGCCAATCTACCTGGATAGAGTGGAACCCATTGGAGATGGAAGGACCATGCGGCCTGTTTTTCTGCTACATTTGTAGCCACAAAGGACTCACCACAAAGGGCACCAGTGCTTTGACCTGGAGAATCTTGGTTTGAATTGCAGTCAATCCTGATACTTACAAGGATAGCGCAATATGTAAGATTAATTAGTGGCCAGTTCACAAACCTGCTGAACGTCGGGGCCAAATTCATGTGTTTAAGCAAGAGTTCTTAACCTGCCAGCTTCTATTTCGGAGGGAAAACACCTGTGGGCCAGTTTTCTGTTGAACATTGTATTGACCTGGACTCACAGTACCCAGTGACAGGACTTGGTCCTGAGCTCTGTGGAGTTTCCATGGTCCATGTTTTGCCACTTTGAAGAGGCCTGAAGGCACCTGCTCTTCTCGAGCAGTCGGCTTGTGGAAGAAAACACGCTTTCATAAACTTGCTCACTTACAGGCAGGCAGGCAGGCAGCAGAGGCAGTTCTCTGAGTGAGTGAAGCCTGTCAAAAGCTTGTCCGGGAAGGCGCTCGGCTTTGCCAGCACCAGATTGATTTCTTGTTAATTTTTCTATTCTGAGCACAGTCTGGAGAGATGCACAGTCCATAAGGCAGTCAGTCACTGGAAAGCGAACTTGATATTTGTTGGGGATTTGTCATTGTCATTAAAAGTTTTGGATTTCTGGCCTAGTGCCTGATGGTACTGGACCTCAGCCAATAGTATGAAACCAAGCACTTTAGTCCAGGTTCTTTTTGAAAACAATAATAATTATTTCTAGAAGAGAATGTAGGCATATGGTAAAAGAGGACAAAATAAGTGTAAACACATGCCATTAGGTTTGTACTGTACATCAGAGACTAGACAAACCAGTGAAGATGAATGGAGGGTTTGTTTGAGAATGCCAGATGAAAGAGAGAAGTCTTTATCAGGCATTGACATGAATTAGGGGTGAGGAATCTTTGGTCTGCAGATGTTCTTAGACCACAGCTCCCATAATGTTGACAAATAGCTGTACTGCTTAATGAGAACTGGAGTGCAACAACTTCTGGAGGACCACAGATCCACCAGCACTGACACAGAACAGTAGAAGTGTTCAGACAAGTATCAGGAGCTGACTTTGACTAATATGGAACAGCAGGGGAGAAAGGGTGTTGGTGAAGAATGTATATTTAGATTTATGGACACGCTTTGCCAGGATATTGGCAAAGCTGAGAAGCAGAGTGAAGTAGGAGCAAAGGAGTGAGTCCCTTGGGAAATTACCTAGGGAGCCAGTTCACATAGTCTCTTTTCTCAGTGCTGCACTTCTGTCTCTTTTGCCAGTGTTGGAGAAGTAGAGTATCAGAAGCCCAATCTTGGAAGTCAGTAAAGCTTGACTGTAGATGTGTATTTTCTTGTTACTCGGTTCTTTGATGACTGCGAGAGAACTGTTGTTCCTGGTTCTTGACACAGCTGCTCCCGAGTGTCCTCTCACCAAGTAGCAAATACACTGTCCCCTTGAGAGCAATGCCAAAAAAATGTCTACAAATGGGGAAAATGGGTGTACAGAAGGGAGCTAGCTCTTGCACATTATGGTTTTCCCAGACAGCTTTGTCCAGTTCTATGCAGAGGTGGGCAGAGGACTGGCAATTTTAAGGTTGCCTGGTGAAGATTCTCAAGCACAACATGAGAATCAGACCACCTTGGGAAAGGAGAGAGACATTTCACAGCTGGTGGGTGGTGATGGATTCTTTGACCCAGTCAAGTGCTATACGTTGGAATGCCCTTGAAGACCGGAAGCTTCAGCTACTGTGGAACGTGATGTTATGTTTTGTGGCAGGGCAGGTCATGGGAAGCATACTGCTTTAAACTTGGCTTGACTGCACTGGGTGCCAGCTTGTTTCTGACCCCAATTCAATCTCTTGGTGTGGATCCAATTAATCCTAAAAAGTCTGGGCCCTATGTAACATAGGAGCTTCATCTCTTCTATGCTCTTATGAGCATAGTTCTGCTTTATGTACTTCCTTCCATTCAGCCAGGTGACAAAGAGCACAGAATAGGTCTTCTTTCACAGTGGCTTGTGCAATGTTTTCCCTTGAATAATTTGCCTGCTATTCCTGTAGTGTCATTTAGATAGAAAATTGAAAGCCGACTTCTCCCTGCATGTGAAGAGATTTAACTTTGAGCTGCCCTTAGGAGGGCAGACTTGGATGATATGATAAGCCACTTCTTCATGGTGCAGTTTACGAGCCACTCTACCCTCTGAGGTGCCCAGCAGATGGTAGGGTGCCCCTCTTCTCTCAGTTCTTCTGTGGGTGGCCCAGGGGACACTGCAGGAGGACAAAGACATTTCCCCACAATAGATTTCCAAAGCCCATCTTTATCCTGCCTTGTGAAACTGGAAGCTCATTCAGCCCTTTTGACGCTGAATATGGAATTTGGATGGTGGTCGTGTATCCCAATTATTCCTTAATTTTTGCAAGTGTCCCTGAGTTGATCTTCCAAAGAAAAATCCTCCCATACCTGGGAGCTTTGCATGTTCCCAAGAACATGTAGTGGGGGTTGGGGGGGTGTCTCTTTGGCAGATTAGTTCATGATCTCCAAAAACCCCAATTATTCTGCTGTGAATGGAGTGTCTAAATGTCCATCCCACTCTTTGCCATTAATTCAAATGGGCTTACAAACTTTTTTGGAATGGACCTAGAATACTAGATAGTATATTTGGAATCTAAACATGAACGTTTGTATTGTACCCCATGATATATGCTGTTTTTGACATATTAACATTCAAAATAAGCATGTAGGTTGGGGCATCCTGTTAATCACTGAGGGCAGATTTATGCATTCATATAAATAAATGTGCAGTTTTATTAATTTATTTTGATATAAAAAGCATATCTCTCAATAAACACTCAGTGGCACGAAGAACAGATACAGAAGTCATACTGTGGTAGTTCTGTTTTTCTTTCTTTCCTTTTTTCTTTCCAGAAAGCTACCAAATTTACTTGGAATCCAAAAGAAAGTGGCAGATGATTCCTTCTTGGCAGGAAAATGTAATGATGATTTGTTAGAAGAAGACTTGAGACATCTGCCTTATTATATTTAAATCTTAATCTCTTAACTGTTCCAAACTAGCTGGAAATCTAAGCATTTCTTGTGCAAGTTTCTCAAACGAGAGACATAATCACATATTCTTTTTTGAAACTTTCCAGGCAGATCTTCACTGTTAGTGTGTGTTAGTTTTATACTACTTTAAAAGACATGCCCCCTTTCCCCCACCCCCTGGGAATGCTAGTTTGAAGACTGTGCTCAGGAATGATTTCTAAAGCTCTCTAGCCTGTGTCACAGAATTACACTTCCCAGGGGTTCTTGGGAAACAGGGATGAATACCAAACCAGTTGTACAGGACAGACAGACACCAGGAAGGATGTCTGTTCAGGATGAGTGTTTGGCATCTTTTGTAATTCACTAGAAAATAACTTGATACTATACGCATGGCTTTGCGATATAAACAAGCAAACGTTTATAGCCGGCAAGCAAACGTCTTGTCTGAGAGACAGTCTGCCATACTGCTGCTGTGGAACTGCAGTCCTAACAAGGTTTGGAAAATGCACTTGTCGAGGCTGAAGTGAAGGGACCAGCCGCCAGAACTGTGTGGAAGGAAGCCAGATTAATAAAAAAGGAGAGAGATGGAAAGGGAAGGAATGACTGACTACAGTTGCAAGAAGAGTGTTGCTTCTTTGAGAACTGCAGCATGTAATACAAACTAAGAACATAGAACAAAGCCTATTAATGGTAATTTTAAGTCAGTTTGTATACACTAAAGCAGTCATTTGGCCATGCCTAATGGAATTTTTTCCTCTCTCTTTTAAGAGATTACTTTTCAAGTATCCTGCCAAAGTGTCTTTTACAATTTAGCCTGATTTGTAGTTAAAGATCTGCTGTGCTTCTCAGGGGTCTTAGGCAAAACCCTGCCAGAAGTCTGTGACTGTCTGTTAGGGAAGTGTGTGGAGTCTGATTCAGGGGTGAAAATCTGACAGATTTGCCCCCTGGGATTTTGATTCGACAGCTCTACACTGGCACTTATTGTGATGTGAGTTGCGAGTTCTGCTGGCTTGTCATCTTCTCTAAGATGGGCAGTTTCCACATTTTATAAACAGCATAAAGAAATATACACAAGGGGCATGCTTTGTAACATTGTGCAATTTTATACAAGTTTTATAACTCACTTTTGTGTGTTGTATGCAAATTGGCACTGAAAAGCATTTCAATCTAGCGTGATTTGGACAAGTCCATAGTCTATGCCAACAGTGTCAAGTTTCACACTGCACAAGTTGCCTAGTCTGCACAAATTTCTTCCTTTTTCCTTTTCTTTTGGAAAGTGCAGGCTGTTGCCTGTCTTTTCGGTGAACGTGCACTGCAAACCCCTCAGTTTGGCCCACTTCCAGCCAACAGATTGGAAGCAGGCAGGCAATCCATCGAGGTCAAATGAGATGGACATCCCAGCATCAGGACATCCATACTGTGCTTTAGTTTTGCCACAGCGATTCCACTGAAAAAGGCATCCTCATTAGAACTTCTCCTTCATCTGTAGCTTAGTGGAGCCAGGACTCCCTGGTCCCTCTAAACTTAGGTGCAATCCTTGCATTTATGGGGGAGGGGGATTAATGGGTTTTCCCAGCAACTGTATATTGTTGTGAACCTATCCTTGTAATACAAAGCATGTTCGGCTGGCTTAGTCTTGGAAAGTCTATTAAGACTCAGTGGCTTTAGAAAAGATCTCTTGATGGAGCGAGAACCTGATAGAACAGGGTTGACTTTGAGTGAAAGTATTTCTTCCTTGAGCTCCTTCATGCTGGGCAGAGAAAGCCCTGGAAACTCTTGAGCTGGTGGTCTTGAACTCTTTGGTGTGGCCTGTCTTTCCCTTACTCATGCAATCTCAGGTCTCCGGTATCAAGTCTATAAGCACTCAGCCTTATGATTTGACTCCTGTATCCTTACACTCACCATCAGCCACCACTGAGTTGGATCATAGTCCATGCTTACTATGCAATGCAGCTAAATCCAGAACAAAGGCTTGTAATACTGCAGTTAGGATGGAGAGAATTCACCATCAATATTGGACAGTTGGTGACATCCCTATTGCAAATGTAATATGTAGCCTGACGTCTAGGATTGTTCAGATGGGAATGCCAGTGCTTGAAGTTGATTGTACCTGCCTGGGGAATTTTTCTTCTGCAGGAAATGTCTTATCAACTGGCAGTTTCTTTGGATTCATTGTTTTAAAAGCTATTGGCCTCATTACCTGGCTAAGTGGGACCAAAATTCCTTTTTAGCTGAAAACAGAGAAATGAGTCTGTGCTCTTCATAAATATCTATCATGCAATCAGGTTTATCAATATAGTTCTGTTTACTTGGTTTATAGACTACTTGTGTCAATTCTGAAATTTCACTTTTTAAATAATTTGTTTTTTTCTCTTGTCCCACATAATCCTTGTCTTCAGTTATTTCATAAAGGTTCATCATTTTCTTTCTAAACTTGGAAGTTTTGCATTCTGGCTTGTTGTCTGAGATTTTCCTGGCTACAGTGTAATGGGAAGGACCCCGTTTGCCTGTGATCTCAACCCATGAGTTGTCAGGGTTAAACTTTGAGGGAGCAAATGTCTGCCTTCCATGTTGTCTCTGTTTTGCCTCCATTTTGCAACCACTTTGCTTTGTTTGTTGTAAGGCCCAAATCTGTGTGAAGGGTTATAACAACTCTGAGTTGTTAAGGATTCTAAACCGTGCAACTATTGGGCAGCAAAGAAGTATTTAACTTACCATGCAATGTTGTGGTTGGAATGCTGACCTTTGACCAGGTAGTCTCAGATTCAAATCCCAGCTCAGACATGCAGCTTGTTGGGTACGCATGGATTGGTTGCTATCTTTCAGCCTAACCTTTCTCACTGGGCTATCCTGAGGGTACGAGGAGAGAACCTTTTGATTTGCTGACCACCCTGAGAGTTTTCGTGCTGAAAGCAAGGTATAAAAAAATAACTGTTTCATTTAGTATTATTCCAAAGCACAGAAAAATGTTCCAAAGCAGTACAAAGACAAATTTCATTGGGTAGTCTTGGCCAAATCACCATCATGCAAGCAAATATGTTAGCTCCCACTACTTGCCACTTCCCTGTTGCCTTTCTAAACAATCCAGGAATAAGAAACTATGGTTTAAAAGCCTGGGTTGTTTAACCCTCGACAACCTAGAAACCTGGGTTCAGATGCCGCAGCAAGCAAAACTAAATGAATGGGGAAGAGGAAGCGGTTAGCACATGGAAGGCATTACAATTCCTCACTATGCTCATCCCTGACAACTTGTCAGTTCAGGTTATAAGCAAAGTAGACCTTTCCTATTATGCAAACTTTAATTTTTACTAGTATAGTAACTGCCATTTTAAGGGTAGATGGTATTCTGAATGTGGCCACATCATATATTTATGGTCCATGAAGATTTTACTTTGTTTCATGAGTGTTTTATCTCCAATCGTTTTTGTTTTAATAAAGGTGTTGTGATAAAAGTTCAAGGGAATAAGGAACTAAGAAAATTGGCTTGGGGCAGGGGCAAGGGGAGGTAGAATTCAGATAATTGCCTGTTGCTTTTGCAGAAAGATTAACTGCCAGGCTGTTTGGGTTTTTACATTTCAAAGAGTTATTCCTTTGTTATTGAAAGAGGATCACATTGGATTACATAGCTTCAGTGATCTCATATAGCTTTTTTTTTTTTTCCAGTCTGTTGGGAGGGGAACTCAACTCCACAGCTCTAACTGGGGAAAACAAAAAAGTTGGTTTCTGAAAGGCCTAAATCTTCAAAGTGTGGGAGATCAGGAGTTCATGGACTTAAAAGGTTTTGTTGATTGTTTTTTTCAGAGCGATTTGTGGTCTTTAGGGATAACAGCCATCGAGATGGCAGAAGGAGCTCCTCGTAAGTACAACCCAATTTCACACATTAGCATAATTTGGATTGTTGCTTGTTAGGATTCAGTATGCCTTGGCAGCATTTCCAGTTCTCTGTAATAAACGGCATGTCCATTATCTCCAAGTAAAGTGCTGAAATGAGATAGACTTGGGTTCTGTGGGCTGAACTGGCAGGTTCAAGAGAAGGAACAGATCTCTGGCTGATTGTCTGTCTGTCTATCATCTGTTGATCTATCTCTACATTTCCAGGTTTTCATCATGCTGTAGCTTAACCAAGAAGCAGAACCTCCAACAGGCTTGATTTTTCAATGAACGGTTTTTATGAAGAAATGAAATTTGACTTCAAAAATTGGCACCAAATATAGCTCCAACTCTGTTAGATATCAAGTTCACAGAGCAATTCCTTTTCATTTTCAGACTGAAACAACAGAATAATCCTACAGATATGTGTGTGTGCATGCACAAAACAAAATTATGACCCCAGTCATCTTTTTAAAGGCAGTTGTGCTAAGTTGGCAGCAGCCCAATTCTTCACACTTACGAGCATCATGGCTTCATGTAATGATGTACAGGATTCAGCAGCAGTTAAATGTTAGGTGGTCACTTGACAGTATTTGACTTGTCAATTGACTAACATGCCAACCCTAACACCCATAAACCCACATCCACTCTGCCTGTCACAATGGCAGGTGCTTTAATAGAATTATTGACAGACTTGTGCCTCGTAATTGTTGTGCATAGATTTGGACGGCTTTTGAACTCTGCAGAATTAGGAAAGGGGTTTAGGCTTTTCATTCTTTTTCCTTCCTACTTCTGTCAAACTTGACATGCCTTTAAGGAATTTCTGTCACTTGCAGTGTGTGTGTGTGTGTGTGTGTGTGTGTGTGTGTGTGTGTGAGAGAGAGAGAGAGAGAGAGAGAGAGAGAGAGAGAGAGAGAGAGAGAATATTCATATAGCAAGTACAATATAGTATCTAGGAGAATAAGCTACAGATCAAGAGATCTCTCATTCAAATCTCATCTCTGCCATGAAATTCATCAGGTGCATTTAGATGAGCCATACTTCTTCAGCTTCAGCTCTCTCTTTTGAAATACAGAGGTGATAATGTCGCTCTATCTCACAGAGTCATTACAAGGTTTAAAGAAAAATTCCTCATGGGGAATTCCTGTGGGTTTAGGCAACACATTAATAGACTTGGCAGGCATGAGGAGGAGAGAACCATGGTGATTCCTCCAGGGGCCAAGTCTCACCTGCTGGCAGAATCCATGAAGTTTCTGAAGGCCACATGGGGAAAGTCTGTGGCCCAGATGTGATCTGTGGTCCCTTGCCAAGGAACCTGTTGCTTTGCTAAATAAAGCACCACAAAAGGACCTGTAACTAACCCAGGGGTTGCCAATCCTGTTGTTGACAGCAAAGTCCAAGGAGGTGATCCCACTGCAATGTACACTTCAGGACATAGGCAGCTTCCCTCTCCCTCCATGCCTTGGTGTGTGATTTTGCACCTGACCTCATGCAACAAAGGACAAGCAACAGTTGGAGAGGCAGATAGGACTGATGGAGTGCTGTAACCAGGTTGAGGGTCGTCTGGTCCCATCCCACATGGCTACAGTGCAAGTTCTGTAGTTCATATACAGTGTATGCACATGGCTACAGTACATGGCTGCAGGGCTACAAGCCCTTGGTCGGCTTGACCTAATGGGTTTCAGAGCTACATTGTAGGAAATTTAAATAGAGAGACTGCCATGGTAATTTCCAATAATGACGCCGTATAATTGATGTAGTAACTGTATCAGGAGTAACCAAAATGGTGGGCAGCCCACAAATGCCTCCACCATTGAAAGTGCCTAGGACCAGCTTCAGCACCAGCCTTCTTAACCTGGTGTCCCCCAGTTCTTTTGGACTATAACTCCCAGCATTCTTGAGTATTGGCTGCTTTGGCAGGTGCTGATGTGAGTTGGAAGTCCAAGCCATCCGGAGGTTGTCAGGTTGAGGAAAGCTGGGATAGTCTGGTGCTGCTGTCATGATAGGAACCCACCATTTAGCAGGAAACACTCATTGTACTTGCTCCACTCTTACAAGAGAAGCATTTAAGTGTATTAACAAGCAGCTCAATAGCTTCTGCTTGCTGCATGACAGACTCCAGAGACAACAGAGAACAGTATGAGGATCTGAGTGTGCCACCGAATGCCTTTGGTTGAATACTCTGTGTATTCCATTATGTTTGGTGCATTATGTTTGATGCCTTCTGTTGGGATTTTTCAGCCCTTTGCGACATGCATCCCATGAGAGCTCTGTTCCTCATTCCTCGGAACCCAGCCCCCAGGTTGAAATCAAAGAAATGGTGAGTGTGTCTGCCCTTTCCTCTATGCATATACCTTTCATTTGCATGTCATTACACTTTATTCACATCTTTGAAATTGCAAAAGCAAACCAGAAGCACCTCCGCAGGAGATAGAAGCTGATTTGGTGCCCATTAAAGTTGGTAGCCATGTGTATATGTGCAAGAATTTGAACATTTCAGTGAGGCAAAGAAATGTTTCAGAGCAACCCTGTGAGCAGTTGTTGTGGCTTTCTGATTGGGTGGCTGCATACACTCTCCTGCTTCACCCCTACTGCAGATTGATGTGGCTGGAAGTCAGTCCAGGCTGCCTGAAAGAAGCCACAAATGTGTCATGAATGGAAAGGGTCACTGGAACAGAGCAGAGTGCGATATGTCTAACATGGGACCTCTGGAAGGACATGAGAACTGAGGGCCAGCAGCCCTCAGACAGAGTTGCTTTCTTTGTGCGCTATGACGCCACAGTTGACAAATGGTGCAGTTCCCACACATAGATTTTGAAGTATTTGATGCTGCCGTTTGTCTTATGCTGTGCCAGTTAAATGGCCCTAGATCAAGGAAACATTAAAAAGAAATCCTTTGCCTTCCATTTCGCAAATGGGAGGAAAGCACAGCCATGTAAATAAGCCCAGAGAAGTTACTGGTTTGCTGGTCCTTTTAGCCAGCTACGAGGCTAGTAGCCTGTAGTTTTATGGAGGTCACCGAGGAGACGCTCCCTTCTGAAGCCTGCAGGGAATGACCCTTCTAGTAGGCCAGTAAACATCACACAGACAAAAATCACCTTCTGCTGAGCACCCTGGGGGAGAAGCAGCGGTACCAAGGGGTGGCTTTGCTCCTCCTGCTGCCGCCAGCATGCAAAGCAAGTTAACTGCCAGTGTAGGAATGGAGAAACCGCTTCCTCCCCTGCCATTCCTATTCATTTGCCTTCCTGCCATTCTGTGCACTTGCCTGCATGGAATTCCGAGCCATTAAATGCAAGGATAGTCTTCTATCCTAGCACTGGCTTACATATGCCAAAGAAATAAGCACTGCGGATTTTCCTGGATTTTACCACTTTGGAATGCAACTGCAAAGATGGTGTGTTCACGTCCCAGAGAAGAAATCTCATTGCATGTACTGAATTAGAAAATCAGAAAGAACACTTCAAGGGTAGCTAGCCCCAATAAATGTATTTTGTACTTTTCCCTTAAATTTAAGACATGTCTAGTTCTTTCAGGCTCATTTCACAGCTACAACAGGCACTCCCTCCTCTGGTCATCAAGGGTCACCCACTTTCTTGATGGGACCAATACAAGTGGCAATATCTCTTTTAGCCTCTATTCTTTCCCAAATTTTCACTTTGTGAGATACATAGATCCTGATCTGTGAGAATCAGAACCAACACCTTAACTAGGGCCTGGAAAATTAAATGGAAACCAGTGCTAATGCTGGCTATATATTCTTATGCCTCCCCATACCTAATAGAGAAGGCAAATCACAGTTAATGTCATCCTCATTTCCTGGCAGCAAGCATTTTCCCATTCTGCCTTATCTGGCAGTCTAAGAGTATCCTGTGAGCTGAGTTGCACCAAAGCTGCCCCAGCTGAAGAATTCCACACCTGTCTCCATGAGGAGCGTGTACAACATGCATAAGGAAGGAATGCTAGTTTTCACATACTAGGTCTCATTCTCAACACAAAACAAACATATTCCATTGGAGAAAAGGGGAAACTTGTAAGCTGCCTTGGGTTGCTTGCAAGAGGAAAAAGGGATATAAATGTGATGAAATATATTGTTTAGAGAACATGCATGTTCCTTTAAAGGCGGGGTTCATACAGGCATGTTCACGACTCTTTCTTTATACTTCATTGCGGCATAGTTGATGACTAGCTAAGTATGCAAAATGACTTGGTTGAGAAATGTTGTGTTTGTGAGGATACAACAGTGAACTTCGAGATTTGTCTCCAGAGTTGTGATCCATCAAGGCCAGTGATGGCTAACCTTTTAGAGACCGAGGGCCCAAACTGCAACCCAAAACCCGCTTCTTTATCAAAAAGTGCCAACACTACATTAAAACCTGAAAACTGAGGCTTTAGTTTCGAAAAAACACCTCCCAGCCAGTCCAAGCAAATATATATATATACTTGGCAGCACACTGGCTGACCATGGAAAAGCTCAGACAAGTCGCGGCTAATGAGCTTCTGCGGCTCGTGACGTCATTGCCTGACACAGCTACTCCTTTCCAAGCATTCACATGGCCACAAGGTGCGCTCTTCTCAGATGCTTGCTGCTGGGGGATGCTGGGGCGACTTGGCTTACCTGATGACAGAAAGGGCTCTGTGCGCATCCGTTGGCACACATGCCAAAGGTTCACCACCACTGGAATAAACCTGCCCTGCTGCGCTCCCCCAACACGTATATAAGGGTCACATGCCAGAAAAAATGGGAGGTGGGGTGGAAAAACTATTCCATGATTAGCTTTTTCTGCACAGATCATTTCTGCCCATTCTAAAGACATTCCAACCCCCACAATCCTGCCAGGACACCCTGTTTTTCTGACCCTAACCCTACCCTGGTGCACACCACTAATGCTAATACAGGGCTCAAGTTCCATTGAAAATACTGTGCTTCTCAAAAAGTCTTCCTTGAGTAGCTTTTTCCGCCCAGCTCATCATTTCTGCCCATTCTAAACACATTAAACCAATCAAATCCATGCCAGGACACCTTGGTTTTCTAACCCTAACCCTACCCTGGTGCACAGCCCTAACCCTAATATAGAGCTAAGTTCCATTGAAAATAATGTGCTCTTGAAAAACCCTTCCCTAAGTAGTTTTTCTGCCCAGCTCATCGTTTCTGCCCATTCTAAAGACATTGCAGCCATCAAAATCATGGCAGGACACCTTGTTTTTCTAACCCTAACCCTACCCTGGTGCACACCCCTAACCCTAATACATGGCCCAATTTCCATTCAAAATAATGTGCTCTTGAAAAACCCTTCCCTGACTAGCTTTTTCTGCACAGCTCACCATTTCTGCCTATTCTAAACACATTCCAACCTTCAAAATCATGCCAGGGCACCTCTTTTTTCTATCGCTAACCTAGGAATAGTGAACCTTGTAGAGACCAACTGCCCAAACTGCAACCCAGAACCCACTTATTTATTGCAAAGTGGCAACATTGCAGTAAAATCTGAAAACAACCATTCCAAGCAGCACACTGACCAGGCATGCAAATGCTCAGGCGATTCATGGCTAATGTGTTGCAGCTCGTGACGTCATCGCCTGGCGCCACTGCTCCTTTCCGAGTATGTGCATGGCCCCTATGTGGGCTGTTATCCGATGCTCGGCTGCTGGTGATGTTGGGGTTACTTGGGTCTACGTGTCCCCTCTGGCAAAGATGCCATAGGTTCACCACCACTGTTCTGTGCTAAGATTCCTCCATCAAAAAAAAGAGGGGAAATGAATTTGCAGACATGCGGAAAAATCAAAATGAGTGTATTGACCCAAAGCAATTTAATTGAAGTTCTTCAGGGGCAATACCAATAAGCTAATAGAATTATTTTCTACACCACAGTAATTCTGAAGCAGTTATACAATATCAAGGAAGAAAGTTAATAATAAAATATTAATACATGCAGCGGTCTTTCAAAGGTTGGAGCAAGCAAGCCGGCTTTGAGGAGTGCCCTGCTCACCAGGACCACCTCAGAGGAATCTCTTGGGAGCACGTGCCCCTGTTCCATTCTTTGTGGCATCTCTAGCGTACCCATTGAACCCTGGCCTCTGCCCTTGTTATCCAAGCTCTACGTATTCATCTTCCTTTATACAAAGGGTACTTCCAGACAGAGGGCATTGAAAGCAATATCTCCTTCAGCAGTACAGCTAATGAAAATGGCATTGTGCTAAGTGGCCCCTGCTGTAACACCAGTAACTTTTGCTGGTGCAACAGGTTTCAGGGGAACCCATTTCATCAGCAGGCACTATTGGTGCTACATTAGAGGATGCTTGTGCTAGTTCACCATATTTTATGTTAGGGGTCGTGTCAAATGGCTTGCTGCCCCCAGATAGATCTGCCAGTCAGTATGGTTGATGCAGATTTGTCTGATTAGAAAAAAAAATAGAAGTGGTGGGAAAGCACAGGGGGAGTGCAAATTGGGCAGTGATGCCTGACACACAGACAGCTCACATTCAGTGAATGGGGGAGGGCAATAGCACAATGACGGTCTCATTTGGAAGCCCCCCGTCTCTCCGACTTCGGGCCATGTTGTTCAGTGCTGTCTACTCTGCCAGTAGCAGCTGTCCAAGTTCTTGGGCAGAGATATGTCCGAATCCTGTTGTCTGAAATCCTTTGCCTGGAGAGGCAGGTTGTTGAATCTGGACCTCCATTCGTGCCAAGTGCAATTCATGCTGTTAATCAGGAATGGTCAATCTACACATGTAAGGCATCCTTTCATGTTGCAGGTTCATTCAGGTGATGAATATGTAGATCATTCTTGCAACAGAGGGATGTTACAAGGCCAGATAAGATAATGACATTTAAATAATAAATATTTATACCTGCATCCTGTTGATAAGATTCCTTGCAAGCATGTTAAACCATCTGCTTTTGATTCTGCCCCTCTCTTACATTTTGTTACAGTCTGTTTGCTGACAAAGCACACTGCAGATTGCTTGGAGAAGGGGAGTTGCCTTTAGCGAAATGCGTTTTGTAAAGCTTGAACTGCCAGACAGGGTGGATGGAGACTGGGGAATGCAAACACTAGTCAAAACACTTTTGCTGAAAACCAAGCTCCGGTGAAATGTGTATGTGTGGGGTTCTTACACAATGCTGTCAATATACCGAAGCAGCACTTCAACTGTTTTGTTCATTCAGATTGTTAATAGATCATCTTTACCACTTTTTCCTACCCAGAGTGAAACCTCAGAAATTTTCAAAGATAGAATGGGGTTAATTCCCAAACAGACTTAATACAGAGTACTTCCAACCATTCTATTTCTGTTGCTCAGAACAGATTATATTTTATCTGC